CTCTTGACTGACACAGCAGAATCTTCCAGAGCCGTTTTTGTCACACACCCAATACTTGAAGGCTTCTTCATATAATTCATCATCTCTCTTCGCTTCTTTGAGCGTTTGATCGTTTGGTAAAATCAGCTTTGGCTATGGAGTTTCTTAAGAGGCTTTAGAATTTCTGGTTTACTTGATACAATATGTGGAGAAACGATTTATAAATGAAGAGGACTATGAACTAGGTAAGAAGGACTTTGAGGTTGGCTAGGATTTCGAATGTATCTCTACTTCATTAAATTTTTTATTTTTTTTCTTTTTGTTTTAAAGAACTTTCGAAACTTAATTGTTTTCCTATTGCAATTATGTTTCTCACCTCCACGATTTGTGTTTCTTTCCATTGTTTTCTGCAGATTTTTTTGGATAGCTATTGTTTGCTACTTTCAAAGTTTATTTCTTCTTGGATTAATCTAAAGAGAGTTGCTGCAAGGGAGTGTAATCAAAATAGAAGTCGCTGAAAAATAAAATAGATTTTTGTATATTTCTTGTCTTGTTTAAATATAATATATAAGACAGCTGCATTAAAAAAATAAAATAAAATAATAATAAAAATAATAGTAATAGTAAAAATAATAATAATAATAATAATAATAATAATAATAATAATAATAGCCCTTTTCTTTTCTATCAATAATTTTTACCCAAAAAAAAAATTAAACCAAAATTTTCTTAGCAGATAACTATTAAAAGATAAAGAAATTATCAGAATCGTTGCTATTTTAGACCCTTTCATGTTCTGAAATTGGCTAATTCTTGTGAGTTTTCTTTTTTCGATATCATTATAGTAATCTTAAATTTCATCCAAATTGGAAAATTCTTAGTAATGTATCTCCAAGGGCATTTCAAGAAACCTACACAAAAAAAGAAACATAAATATACAACTTTATTAGAATTATAATAATTCTAATCCCGAATAAAGTTACAAATAATTTAATTTGAACGAGTTTAATGTTATCCATGGAACTATATAATTAATGACCAAATCCACCATCCATACATTCATCAACATGAATTAAATATAAACATCTATAAATACAAGTGTCTACCCATCACATACATACATAATTAAATATCACATATTTAATATTTTAATTTTGATTATCACATAATCAGAGCATAAATTAATTTCGTTTATAGACCGCTCTGATACCAATTGTTGATTTCTGAATCGAATTCGGATGCAGAAGCGTGAGGCTAGCGGATCGTGTATATCAAAAATTTTCATCAAATCTTTAATATACTCTATAGATTATATTAATTTATACACGAATAAATTAATCACATTAATTTATTTAATAAGAACTAAATTAGGAATTATACCTAGCGGTCAATTAAGATGATAACTTGAGTTCTTTGACCACGAACAATCCTTGCTCCAAAGCTTTGTGTTTAGAAAACCAATGTCTTCCACGTCAATTCCTAGAATCCACGAAGATGTGTGTGTTGGCACACTATATTGAAGAATTCGGCCACCACTCTTAAAATTAGGGCAAAATTGTGTCACACAATTTTTTACTATTCTCTTATTTATAGAGTATAAGTCAAACTTCCAGAAGGAATCCAATTTATATCTCCAAGATAAAGCTTGTTAATTATCTCCTATTTGAATTTGGAACAAAATCTCCCACTCCCTTATCCTAGGTGTGGCCGGCCATGTATGGGGATCCTTATTCCTGTGTGGCACCAATTGCAGATAGGGAAGGAAGAGAAAATCATCATTTATTCTGTAGTCCAATTTTGACTCAAAATTTAAATTCTAATTTAAGTCAAACTTAAATTAATTTGAAGTTTAAATTGAACAACTTATCAAATAAGTTTAAATGGATATATCTAGATGTGTTCACACTGTGCCTTACGTTCACATTATGTGAATACCTTCACATAAGTGATCCAAAATTCAAATTTAAATAATCACATTATTTAATTTATAATTAATTCTCAATTAATTATTCTTGAGTGTTTAACTTTAGAATTTCGTAATTCTAAAATTCTCATTTTGCCCTTTGTGTCTTGTAGAATTACTAGGACGACGCGAATGCTAATGGACCTATAATCCCAAGTTCCAATAAAATTAATAATTAATTAAACACTTTAATTAATTAATTAATTCTATTAATTCCAATAGTTACTCCACTATAAACTTGGAATTGCACTCTCGAAATTATAACATAAATTACTTCTAAACTGTGAAGTGTTCATTTGATATAGTCACTGCATATAGATCAATCCTCCATAAATAATTCATAATTAGAGCTAGGTAAAATCCGTTAACCTCTCTAATTATATCTTCATCCTTGAGTACCATTGATTCTCTAATGGATAGTGATTCATAAAACACATTCATGAACCAGAGCACTCTTACTAATCCAAGTACCGAATCAACACTCAAGAGAATTATTTATCTGCTTCTTTCTCAAGAAGGAATGGATTCCATCTCGTATAATAACATTCCCGGCATCCTACTTCATCATGTCTCCAAAATACAAGGAATAGGATTTAGGGTCTCAAAATCCGTACCGAGTAAATCAAAAGACACAAATCCATAAATAGGAGTCTGCTAGGAACTCAAGATTAAGATCATTCTATATATGACCATCAATAGACTCAATTAAAATTTCCATACTTAACAGAAATTATTAGAAATTCATATTGTGTCTTTGTCCCTATTCCACATAATCTTATTATGCGTAATACACTAATTCAATATCTCACCATATTAGCAGTGCGGATAACACTGTTCCATTCTAAATGAGAATGACATGTATTAGTAATGTTTTAATTAAAGATTCTGAACTTTAATTAATTATTACGAACATTGCTTTTTGATTATTATCTTTAAACATTATCCTCTCGCATATCACACTTATATACAATGTTTAAGGTCACATAAATAATCACAGACTTTTCATTTGATATTCATAAAATATTCACAAATATACACATAAAATGATAAATAAACTCTTGTATTAAATAAATAATAAATATTATATTACATCTCATACTGCTAAGACACCATTTCTAAAAAATATGGCGCTCTAATATAGTCAAACAAGCATGCCCTATGTATTTGTTTATTTGCTTTACTTTTCTGCGCAAGACAAGATTTGCTTCATTTGGTCGTAGTCATGTCCTTTTTTACATGTAAATATACACTTGGGATATGTTTGGTAACTTGTATTGTATTGTATTGTATTATATAAGGTGTATTGTATTGTATTATATTGTGTTATCATAATACAATACGGTGTTTGGTGTCATGATGTATTGTATATGTTAAAATGTAAAATTTTAATGTTGTTGGGGTTAAAATGTAATTTTTAAAAAATTATTTTTTAAAAGTTTTGGGTTCAAAGTGTAATTTTACAAAAGTGTTGGGTCAAAATGTAATTTTACAAAAACTTTGGGGTCAAATGTAATCTTTTAAAAATACAAATTTGCATTGTGTCCCCTCAATTTTTCAACAATTATAGGCTCCGGCATGACCCTATGTTAGCCCAATCTCGACCCCTAGTTGTGCTCAACCTCTACATGAATCATTGATTCACTCTAAAATAATACAATACGCAAAAAATGAGCTGTATTCAATAATATGATCTATACCGTATTAATTTATCATCCGTATTAGTTTAAATAATACAATGGTCACACCAAACAAAGCATTATTGTATTATTATATAATACAGTAATTAGAATCAAACAAATATGCCTATGATGTTTTTCTGCAATCTTATGTAAAGAAAATCAAACTCGAATGAAGACCGGAAAACAAGAAAAAGAAAGTTCCTTAAACCTTTTGGTTTGAATTAATGACATGCTTCTAAGATCTTTAATTTGAAAAATAAATGACGAATGAAAGCAATAATCTTCCACATTAGACCTAGCTAAAATACTTGAGAAGTAATGCTGATGCAGGCGTTTGCTAAGGGCACTGATAGCGTAAAGTACTGATGAACAATTTAACAAATAATTTTAGTGAATGAACCTCAATTGTTACGTTGCTGTGATCTATGCTTATACAATCAAATCGACGTTGAGTATGAAGAAATCTATTCATAATTATTCGAAAAAGTATATGTATCGGAGTACATGATCTTTTTTTTTTTTAATTTTTTGTTTTGAAGAGAGAAAAGGGGATCATAATGTCATTCCTCATCACTTTAGAAATTCTAGAACCTATAAATAGAATGAAAAAATATGATCTAATTTTACTTGAATGATGGACTAATTTTCACTCATGTCACTACACACTAAAGGCCACACAACACATAAGTCAGGTAAAAAAAACCTTAAAGATGTTGAATGTCGAACCTCGGTGCGTCCTGGGAGTAAAAGATTTTGGGTCGTTGGGTAATTCATGTAGCGCTTTTGCACCATTGAGTAACATAGTGGGGAAAACAGAGGAGAGGATTATGCAACACTTGAGTGCTGGATAGCAGCAACTTCCCTACCGCACAAGGCACCAGATACGCCTTTTGGAAAAAAATGACCAGCCAAGAAAAACAGGGACCTATTTTCTTATTATTATCATCATCATCATACTAGGACCATAAGAAATCATTGCAGATAGAACATTTTCAACAGCTCTAACAAGTGTTGAAGAAAAAAAACGACCCAAAATCATTATACCAGAGGACCCCTTCTTTTGAGACTCCCGTTGGTGATTCCCTTGTCCGTGTCCTGCAATTGGCTGGTAAAAATCCTTAATATAATGCTACTATTTTTTTTTCTTTTTTTGAGGTAATATAATGCTACTATTTAAGAACATTTGAAATGAAAAGTGCCCATCAACTTATTATTCTAAAATGGTAAATTTTTGTGTCAAAAGACTTTCTATTCCGTTTTTATTTTACATGTTTTACCCATTAAATTTGTTCCAAAATCTCTTCTCCCACCTCTCCTCTATAACTATGAAAGACAATGGCGACTCTTCACCATTTTTAGGATAAGAAGGCCATTGTAACTGAAAAAGAGAGATTTTTATCATCTTTATATCATTATTGAGAAGGGTACAAATGCATAATAATACTAGTGTGTAAGAAATGTTTTACTCTAGCGGTTTTTCATCCTTGCCATTTTAAGACACAAATTCTAGTCTCTAGAGTCTAGCCTTAGCAGCCTTATTTCCAGGAATCTGCAAAGCATCATAATGGCCAAATCCGTGATAGAGAACTCTAATTGGATTCTCCATGCCATATTCTTGGCCATACTCAGCAATGCATATTAAGCCACCAGCATCCCTATCATGCATGTAGACTGTGATTGGCATCCTGCAAGCATTAAAGGGCTACATCAGTTAAAGGCCAGGATACAAAACCCAAGTCCATTCCACGGCCCAGTCCAAAGCCCATCCACTTCCCCCCGGCCGAATAACAATACCATGTGTGTAGAGAGGAAGACTTACAGAAGAACATGTGAAGCCATGAATAGTTCAGGTTCACCTCCCCAAACATGTGGCTTCCTCATCTGCGCAACATATGTATCGAAATCACCTTCCACAAACCTGTTCCACAGCACAGAGCAATGAAATACCCGTAAATTATGCATATGAAGTAGGCATACGCAGAAAATATAATTGTAAGACAATAGTCTAAACCTAAAGCCCGAAATAATAGGCAAAACATAGTTGAACGTGTTTTTATTATAAGATTGTAATATGGTTTATGAGGAGACTGTAAGGTTTAGAGAGTGATTAAGGGGTTTTTACGAAATGAGTTACAAAATTGTGGGTGGTACAAATTTGAAGCTTCGATAGTGATAGTCTGTAGAGATCTTTACCTTGCACCAAATAGGCGAATATGGTGATTTTTAGGAATACCCGCTTTCGTAGAGTTAGACGTCAAACATATCACTTTTGTGAAACATTTATGCCCAATTTTTACCTCAAAGTGGAACAAATAAATACCTAGATTTAATAGTGGTATAGAGCCTAATGCTTGAATATATATGGATGAAGAAATTTTTTTAAAATATTTTATTTTATTTTTTCAGTCCATCAGCAATAAAATCAGGTTCGGATCCAACGATTTGTGAGAGGCTGTAGAAATCTGTATGACTTATCAAGAACCAAGCCCAGAATCCTACTTAACAGTGAGTCAACCAGAGAAAACTTGCAAGTTCACTTTAATAGTATTAGATCGGGCATTCATCCATGGTAGCTAGAAGTCATGATTCACAAAAGTATTTTGTTTTCCGTAATTCTACTAAGATGAAGGATAATACGTCTTTTTTGATAACATTCATGAGGGCATCATGACTCATAGAAAGGAAGATGGTGAAAATAAAACTAAAGTTAACAGGATTGTACAAGAGCACAGATCAGAAAACTCACCATTCTGTCTCTTCTCTCCTTTTGATGAACTCATCTGCAACCTGAACAAATTAAAAAGATGAAAATATCAGGGACCCGTTGTTTTTGCATTAATCTTCAAAGTCACTGTTAATTTCATCAGTGAAAAGCACTTGTGCCTTTCCTCTAAGAAGTAAAGGATAAAGCGGATTGGAAACAAATTATTAAAAAAGAACAATTAATCAGGTTTTGGGTTTCTGGAAGATACAAATGCAATCAGTATCCGAACGATGCCTTCTTCATTCAAGAAAAAGAAAAGTTCAAGGAAAGAAATTGGAAATAGGTACATCGTGACAAAGGTGCGAAACATACTCTAGCCCTCAAATTATCAGCTAATTCTCTCTGGAGACTCTCACTTGGAGCTGGTTTCCCAGATCGTAAACAAGCTCCATGAGCGACAGAGCGGAACAAGCATCTTCCATCTCCAGGTATTCCTGCGCAGTATGTAGCAGTTATCTACACTTCGACAACCAAAGAAAATGAAATCAATACAACAACTGTTGCAAACATACAGACTCTGAAACACCAGCAACAAGTTCCAAATATCACTATCTTTAAAGGATCAAAAGAGCAGACAAGTTTTACTGCTCACCCGTAATGGAATAGTCGGTGTAAACTTTCTTTCCATGGGAAAATTTAACATATGATGAATCACAGTCATCTTCACTATCATCATCACTCCGAGCTACTTCTGCGTGTGCAGGTTTGGAACTTGAATAACAAATCAACAATCCGCCAAGTAAACCAGCAGTGCCACTATTGATTTTGACAAGCATTCTTTGTTTGGGAACTAGAAGCCTTATGCTCATAGCAGTGTTTGCCAATGAAATTTTAAGGCGTCTTCTCTGAGGCTCAGCGGCGCTAACTAAATCCTTAAGTGCTAAAGACCATAATCTACCCTTTTCTGTAGAGAAACAAGAGCTGACAAAGCTCTTCTGGAATGTTGGACTACTATTGGAGAGATGATTCTTGGAGACAGACAAATGAGCATACTTTGTTTTTGAATTCCCAGGATACAAACAGAAACAACACGAACTGTACGGCCTTCGGGACACCACACTACACAGCTTGCTGCCCATCTCTGTTTGAATATTGCCACTCAGACAGGCAATACTCTTTGTACATGCACCAATGGAAGGACAAACAATCATATTGTCATAACCTAAGACAAAATGAGAGAGCATTAGTTATATTGCATCGACTGTATTACAACTTGGTAAGCTCCTATGCATGAAGACTATAGATTTTTTCTTATTTATCTATCTAGAGAAGCAAAGTGCATTCTCATAAATATAGATCAGCCATAACTACACCTACATCCATAACAAATTCTCTGATTGTACCAATCTCATCTTTTACAGTACATATCACTTAAAATAAAAATGAAATAAAAAATCGTTTGGAAATAATGTATTCGGAGAATTTATGCGGTAAACATTAGTTTTAGGAAATTCTCCAAGATGTGACGGAGGGTAATTTATTTGCTACGTTTTTGTTACATGTAATTTTTTTAGTTAGAAGCACCGTAACATGAGCTGGTTTGGCATCTCCAGGAACTCCGTACATAAACACCTGTAGATTAATGACTCGTGATCTCATCTTAGTCATTAGTCTCACGATCCCATCTTTCATTCTCTGAGACATTTTCTTGTATTGAGAGAAGAGTTGAGCAGACAAGTCTTTAGAGTTTAATTTATACCAGGTTTAGTGAAGAACTGTGCCAAAAGGTTATTGACTCAAGGACGTAGATCCACACTAGATAGTCTCGTTAATTCTCTGTGTTCATTTGTGATCTAGTCTTTGTTGTAATTCTGTGTGGTTGTGTTTAAGGAATTCTGTGAATATAGGAATTCGAGAAGCGAATAGTGAAGCGCTTACTATTTTCTCTTGAAACCTAGGCTTAGGATCAGAAATTTAGAGTCAAATTAATTCCAAGATTAAAGGATTCTGTTTAAGGTCAGGTCAATTCTGAATTTTTTGATCTGAAACTTCAACTTTCAGGTTCTGATGATAAGATCCCAAGCAAAAGAATTTTTGGGTTAGCCTGGGTCGACTCATAACATGATTCAAGTGTGTATTCAATGCCCGGAAACAAGCACCAAACACCCCCAAAGGAGGCTATGTACATTGAAATAATCATAAATGAAATTACCTCGATATTCAAAGTTCAGCCTCATTCCATTTCACATCAGTAGAGGTCCTCCCTAGAAGTAATCATGTTATAATGAACCCATCAAAGGAATTTACAAACATGTAAAATTAGGCAAAGTTTACGGTAATGAGAAACTACAAACATGTAAAATCAGGCCAATTTTAGGGTAATTTAGAAACTACAAACACGTAAAAATTGGGCGAATTTGAGGGTATGAGAAACTAAAAACATGTAAAATTAGGAATTTACAAACAGAACAAATATATCATTTTATCCCTTCTTTTCTAAATCTCTTCACCATTCATTATTTCTAGAGTTTAGCTACAAAATAGTAACAATTTGAGCAAAATAGGCATAGCTATCTTTTGAATCTCCCCACCAATATTGTAAAATATTTTGCAGTAAGTGGACTCAATAACCAGACTTGAATTCACATTTTTGTAAGTTAAGAAAATCCATTTCTTCAAAATGTGATCATAAATCAATTGATCAAACTTTATACGAAATAAATATTTGACCACAAAATAACAAAAATAATTAAAAAGAAATCAAACTTTTACTCATTTTGAGTATATGTATTAAGATCATCGCTAGAACACAATACCATACTCACATATATTCCTTTAAATTGAGAAAAAAAAAATGATTTTTTTTTAAATAAGAAAAACAACACAGCTTTAATATCCCCAATTCCATCAAGAAGAAAAACTCTTCCTCATGAATAAGAAAAGCCCATAAAGTACCAATCTTGTATGGACATTTTCAAGTCACTCTTTCCATTTTTCTTCCAAAAGCAAAAACCCTCCATTGGACCTCAAAAATGAGGAATTTTTTAGAAGTTTCTAGAACCCAGTATATCAAACTTGCAAAGATTCAATAATCAACTAACTTTTGAAAAACCCCACAACAAAATTTGCTAGAAATTGGTATGACAATGAAGAGGGGTAAAGAAACCTAACCTGTGGAGTCCAAATCAAGAATAAAGAAACAGGAATAAGAAGAGGTGGAACATAATAATAAACCCAGAAAAGACATGAAGTTACTTTGGAGAAAAGGTTATTGCCATGTAGATTCTAGAACAAAGAAGAAGGGTCTGAGAAGTAAGGAATTCACCTGAACAGAAAATCCCACGTGCCAATGTTGCAGAACCACCAACACCCACCAAAAATAAATAAATATATAAATATATATATATATATATATATATTGGTGAAGATTTTTTTTTTCTTTTTTGTTGGTTTTTTTGGATTGTGAATGTGTAGCTTCTTTGTAGAAGTAGATGAAGTTTTATAATTATTTGCTTGTAAAAGCCCCCTTTTTTTTATGAATTGCAAAAGCTTAGCAGAATATACGAGAATTGGCTACTACAGTACTGCCCAACATTGCCGCCTAATCCAAGCTACGGAGGAAATGGAGAATTTACCATGAGATTGTAGGAGTTTAAAAAGTTTTATCTTTTATTTTGAATAAATATTTTTTTATTAATATAATTATTTAATTAAAAAAATTATGAATTAAAAATAAAGAGTAAAAATTTTGACTCATATATTTTCAAGAATATTTATTAAGATTATCTCTGCTTAGATATACTTAACCGTAAGTTTGAACCAAATTAAATGGCGGGCTCGAAACCCGTCATATTGACTCGAGTCCAGCCCAGCCCGTGTCTATATATGCCTGAGCCCGGCCGAGCCCGGGCCGGGCTGTCGGCCCGACCTGGAGAGCCCGAAAGGCTCAGCCTGCCTAACACCATAACGATAATATTACCATTGTGGCCTGTAGGTGAACAGCCTGTATTTGGGCTGCAGTGCAAGCCTAGCGCTTGAAGGATAAATTTTTCATTTTTTTAATAAAGAAGGCCTAGACTTGCACCTGCAGCATGTTCTTCAATACATGAAACTCAAACAGACCCAATGGTAATATTACCATTGGGCTTTTTACTGAGAGGGAGAACGGCCCCCTCTTATTTATTTATTTATTTATTTATTTATTTTTGCCTAAATCTCTCTAAATTTTACCTATAAATACCCTCTAAATTAACTCATTTTTCTCACACAACTTTCACTCTCTTCTTATTCTCCATTTTTTTTTTCTCAAATCTCAATTCTCACTCACGTTAATTCTCTCAATTTTACTACTCCAATTCTCTAAAATAGTTAAATTATTAATATCTTTATAATAGTTTTAGTTTTGTTATATCATTTTTGTTGAAAAAAAAAACACATTGGTGATTCTCTAGTCTCTACTTCAATTTTCAAGTCACAATTCCATTATCCATATCAAGTAATCAAGGTATGAATAAATTTTAGAATTATAAATGTTTTAATTTTTTAATATCTAATTTATAAGGAATATTTAATTTTTATTGTTACCATGTATTAATATGTTTATTGTTGTTATTATTATATTATTGTAGGAAAAAAAAATGGAACCAAATATGTATAGGTATGGTCTTGATGGTGTTGACAACTCTAGAATGGAAGATCAAGACATTGAAGAAGCAATAATTCAACAAATGGAGGCGGGTGACCAAGTTGGTGACATGCCACAAAATATCAATATTCAACCCTTAGAAATGCCGACAGCCTCAAGTGGTTCAACGCCATCAATGACAACAAAACATGAGAGACAACGTGCAGAATGTTAAAAATACTTCACTACACAATAGAAAATTGACGTTGGAGGTAAGAAAATAAAATTAGCTACATGTATATATTGTGAAAAAGTATTCTCTGCAAATTCTACAAGTGGAACTCAACACTTAAGAGATCACATACTTGAATGCGCTACTTGAATGCGCTAGACTTCATCAAGTCAGGACGGAGCCTACACAAACTCAACTTTAATTAAACCCGGATGGTTCGGTAAGTACTTGGTCCTATAATCCTCGCGTTGCTAGGGAATCTTTATCTTTGGATTTACCTATTAACAAACGCACATTATGAAGCTCATATTCAACATGCATATTGTCCTCAATTTCAAAAAGTTTCTAGAACCACTACTAGGAGTGATATGATTGCATACTATGAGAAAATGCGTATCGTATTAATAGCCGAAATGGGTGCATTAAATTTTTCAATTGCATTAACCTCTGATATTTGGAGTGGTAGGGCGAATCAAGATTAAGTGAGTGTAGTTGCACGTTATTTAGACTCTACATGGAATATGTAAAAAAGAATTATTGGTCTTAGACTTATTGATTGTTCATATAATGATGACAATATTATTGAGAGACTTGTAAGTGTTATTGAAGATTTTAGCATAAGAGACCACATTATATCTATCACTCTAGATAATGCTACAACTAATGCAAGGACGATGCGAATGTTGGAGAGACTTATAAACTTGTATACTAGTGGAATTTTACTTCATCAAAAGTGTGCATGCCATATAATCAACCTCATTGTCAAAGTAGATATGTGTATGGTAAGTTCTACAATCGACAATGTCATTTCTTGGAATCATAATTCAAACTCCCACATTACTGAGTTTAAGAGGTATTGTAAAGCAGAAGGCATAAGGCCTAGAAAGTTTGGAGTTAGATATGTGTGTTAGATGGAATTCAACATGTATGATGTTGAAGAGTGCACTGCCATATAAAAATATTATTACTATTTTTATATATGATGGGCCTTAGGGCCGGGCTGGGCCTATATATGCTCATTTAGGGTTAGGTCAGTCCTGCCCGGCCCGAACTTCCCTTTTAACTCTAGGTGTACTGGTGCTACCACTTATTACTTTTCTTATTTTTATTTTTATTTTTTAGGGTGAATTTTTCTTATTTTTTAATGTATTTATTTAATTTGATGTTTTATTGATGTTAGTCTCTAAACCACGAGCATCATTGCAATTTAGTCTCTGAAATTTTAATATGGAAAATTACTTTATGAATTTTAACATAAATAGTACAATAAGTGTAGAATGTTATAGTTTTTAACCTGTCTAATAATAATAAAGAGAAAATATAATTTTTAATATGAAATTTAAAATTATCTTGTTATGAACACATGATTAATATGAGTTAATTTTATAAAAATTTATAATTTTAAGGACTAAAACTATCAAAAATAAAAGTTCATGACAAATATGTAAAAATTAAAAAAAAAATCAAGGATGAAAATATTATTGTATTCAAAGTTTAGGAATTAATAGTGTCAATAATATATATATATTTGAAATATCAATTACCCTTAATTTGATTATCTATACTTTAAAAGTGAAAAAAATATTTTGTTATCTAATATGTCGAATTTCTCTATAACCCTCCCTATTATCATTTAATCGTTTTCTTAAGTTGCTGTCGTTCTTCGATATAGCTCCCTTTAAAGATCCCGTCGCTCTTATGTTGCCGTCGTTTTCTTCACCTATTGTCGTTCTATCATTGATCTTGATTTGTCACCGTTTATTCAATATAGAGTTGCTCAAAATACCTTGGTTTTTATTATGATATCTGTTGTGTGGAAAAATGTGGGTGACAGGTGGAGCGTCGACAGCATGATACGTGACCCTACCTCCCTTCCAAAGGCAGCCACCCTCGACGCCAAGACATCGATCATCCTCGAAGCCAAGAGTTCGACTACCCTCGACGCAGCAAAGAAAGGCCCAAATTAGGACATCGACCCGTTGTGACGTCGAACTTATGCAAACAACCTTCGGAAAGATTAGAAAGGGCATAAAATCTGCGCGGCACAGACACCGAGAGAAAGATGCCTGGCACCATAAGTTGCGTCTAAGAGTGGGATACGTCTGCAATACGAGCATTAATTACAAACCCTTAAACTGCCATGTAGTGGGCAGTAAGAGATTACGGGAATTCACAGAGCCATAATAGAAGACCTAATGGCTGAGTGAACAGTCCAAAAGTGATTAGTGGGCTACGGTCTTAGCCTAGAAAGTAGGCCACTTGAGTACTTCCACCTACGAGAGAAAACCACCCACGAAGAAAGCTTGGGCTATAAAAAGGGGCAAAGCCCCATACGCCAAAGGAGGTTCTCTCGGGAGCATTAGGAAAAAAGAGAGGATACGTGCATGTAAATTGTAAAGTGTCCAAAATAAATATACCATACATAAGTGAATGTAGCTCTTCATTAACAGAGTAAACCACTATAAATCCCGTGTGTCCTCTTATTTAAGTGTTATATTCATGCTCACAAAACATAACAAACACTTCATAGTATAATTTTAAATATACAGCTAATTTCTAGCCAGTAACCCCACAGGATACCAGAGGGTGATCCAGTGTATTTCTATTGATGAAGTTTCACCGTCAACAATATCTCTTTATTATAAATTGTCGTTTTCTTAAGCCATTTTATTTCGTCTGATTTAATTTCCACACGGAGATAGCTACTGATTTAAAGTTATATAAATATGATTTGGTTTCCATTTGATACAATTGTTTAAATTTAAGAAAGGAGAATAACAACTAGGATTTGACAGACTAGCAACTTTTGCTTTCGACTGAGATTTGCCATCTTTAAGAGTTCCAAGAGTCTTTTGGAAATAGATTTGGAGTGAAGATGATACGAACCCCGCCAACGATGTGACGAAACCCATAGCCAAATATGGGGATACGATCCAAGATCTTCAAGAATTGATGGAAACCGCGACCCGTTGCTTAGCGAAGCAAGAACCTTGGTATGGTGAAGACGCCACAAACGAGTATGGAAATTCCGTTTGATAAGTCTAGGGTGAACGCCACAAGGAAAACCTTGATAAGTTTGGAATAGTTCTTCAAGAACTAAGAAGAATATCTCACAAAGTGAATAAACATCAAAAACTCTTTATTAATTTCGTTTTTCAGCCTTAAATAGCCGAAAACAAACTGAAAAGGTTTAAAAATTAAAAAGTCCTATTCTATCTTTAATGAGATAGAAGCCTAAAATAAGATAAACCTAAAAACAAGATAAACGCAAGCCTAAAGCTTATCCTAGGGAAGGAATCCGAATTTGACTCCAACTCCTTCCTAAAAAACGCCTAAAAACTTATCATAGGGAAGGAATCCGAATTTGAATCTAATTCCTTCCTTAAAAACGTCTATGATGGAATTTATGATAAAATCAACTCTTTATCCGCAATTTGACTTGGTCCCTTGCTGGAAATTGCGCCTAAGCCTCTTGGAATATGCAAGTTGGCCATGCAATTGGCTTGATGGACGTTTAAGGTTGATTGTCTTTCTTCCGAATTGACTTTGATGGCTATGTTCTCATCAGAAGAGGTGTCAACTTCACAAGCCTTATGCATCTGTCAATAACATGAGAGATTCTGACAAAACATGAGTTACATCAGGAGGCAAGACGCTCCGGAGGTGGATTACTTCCGGCGGCAAGAGGCTCCGAAGGGTGATTGCTTCCGGTGGACGGAAACTCCTGAGGCAGATTACATTTTAAGATGGGAGGCTCTAGAGGTAGATTATTCTGTCCGATCATGACTCCCATTAACCACCATGGCTTTTTCTGCGACGACTTAAAATCTTCTTGAAGAATCAGAGAATTATCCTTTTTGCTAGTGGGCAAAAGCTGCAAAGTTAAAGTATCATAAACATTGGAGTAGGAATCAATCAGTTTCTTAAAACGAGCGAGAGAGAGAGAGAGATTACCAAGATCGACACTCAGATACCTGCTTTCTATTTCTGCTTTAGGAGCCTTTAAACAAGATGATAAATGCGTGAAACGTAGATAACTAACAAAATGAGAACTTACCATCATGAAAAGGCAAGTTCCTGAAAAACCATCCCTCTGTGCTCGAAGTTTCTGAACTCATCAAAGCTCGCGCAACCTGGACTGAGTACAATGTCATCTCCTGCCGTGACAAAATTTTATTATTTTTTTAACTTGTTGTTTATAAAGATATGTTTAAATCATTCTTATTTAATATAATGAGCCAAGCAAAATTTCACCAACCCCTTTACTAAGATCTGATAATTTTAAGAGTTCCAGTCAATTATAAAAGTTAGATATGAATTATAAGGTCACTTTTAATCTGATTTTTATTTGAAACAAATCAACTATTGAGGCAACTGCTAAAGCGATAACAGAAAGACGAGGGATTACGAGTCATAACATGTCGTGTGAAGACATGACGAGATATCAGTGTATCACCAATAATTCAAAGATGGTAAGAGAAGGAAATGAAAGAGTAGCAAGAAGTACTAGCAACATTAGTGCAACTACCGCCATCGATGATAACACTACATACCTTGTCTTTCACATGGCAACGAGTGTGAAAGATGTTCTCCCGATGTGCTTCCTCTTCCTTTTCCTCTTCTTTAGCTTGCATGTTTAAGGCTTGATGTGCAACTAGCCCTAGCATTTCCCCATGATCTGCCCCGATCTCTTCTTCTCTTATGGGGGCGTCCTCCAATGGTGGCATATCCTCTAGATCATCTTCATCTTCCGAATCAATGTCTCCATTTTCCCGGATCACCATAATTCGCTTGTTTGGACATTGGCTAGCTATGTGTCCTCTTCCCTGACATTTGAAACACTTAATCTC